GCGTGCCGATGCCCGCCACCGCTTGATAAACCCCAAAGTTACCGAACAACCTCCTCCCCCACCCCTAGCCCCCTCGACGAGCGTCCACGTGTACCCGGACCGAACAAATAATAATCATAATAATACACTAGTCGTGTGGACCGTATAACGCACAGCACCAACCATGGATTTGTCGGTTTTCAGCAGCATGCTGTCGGTCAACGGGCCGAAGGGCACCAGACGAGAAGGCAAGAAGTTCAGACAATACGCTGCCGCGCTGTCCAGTGAGTATATTATATTATTATAGCATTTAGAAAACATACATAATATTATAACTATTAGAAAAACGTCGTATTTCGATTTACGTCATTAGAACTCTGTGCGCACAGTTAACGTGTTGAGCTGTGTCTCTCTCGAATAAGAATTTTACACAACCCTCTGCGTACGATCACGTACAGTCGTTTTGCTATCTTTTCTTCTGCTTTTTCGACTCCCCTCGGGCGAAAACCTATCGCATTAACCTGTTACATTATACTCTGGTAGCTGTATATACTCGGATAATATGTAGGTGTGTGTATGTGTGTGTGTGTGTGTGTGTGTGTGTGTGTATAATAGACACTTCGTATGGCTGCGGCGATTATGATGATGATGATGATGATGATAGTTATAATAATAATAGTGCGATCTGGTCGGGCGAAAACCGGTCTGGTGGTGGGTTGATTATTTTATACACGTATTGTGTGTGCGCGTGTGTGTAAGCGAGGATTACTCACGTGTGAGCAGCTGCGCGCAGGACAATGGGAAATCCGTCGTCGTCGTAGCCGCCGTTGTTGTCTGGTTATTTTTTTTGTTCGGCTGTAGCTTTTCAGTCAAAATAGCAGTTCTGTTCGTTTTTCTCTGGTCAGAGAGAACTGGTTGGAGAAAGGGATGTTGCACATAAGATTCCTTTGTCGACATTTTACGACTCGCCCCGACGTCGTAACGTTACAGTTTTATAGTTTTGTGTCGAATAATTAAATATATTATACTTAAGCCAGTTGAACCCTAAAAAAGACTTTAACCACCGTTTAATCATGTCGGATCAGCTTTATTTATTATCACAATGATGGGAAAAACCACGCAATAAGTCTTAAGAAACGGTTCGAAAGACTGTTGAAGTCGCGCCTGGTCACAATTTATTAGCGGGACAACAGAATTCAGTAGAAACCCCTTAGTGTCTACGCAGATTTCATTTGTACGGTACGGCTACACCAGCATAATCGATTGCGGACCTCGTGTGTATCGATAATGTACGATGTCTTGATTGGCGTACGGTTATATTAATTCTATTGCCCCTCCCTGGCAGCGTGTCTGAGAGCTCCGTAGGTCGTGCGTCCGACGATTGCGGGTCGCTTCGTAGGCGAGATGCGCATATATACGTGTACGCGGCCGTCGGTTTGCACGCGATACGTGATATTTTCTCGAAACGATTTTCTCCCAACGCACGTTTTCCGCAGACGAATTTTATTCTGGCGCGAAAAAAACTCGATCCTATTCGAACTCCAACGCGCCCTTGTCGACCGTCTGTCCCGTCAACCTCTAGCTATACGCTAACGCCGACGCGGTAAAATCGGAAAACGCGCCGAACGTGAGATGGGCGTGCGTCTGCGTTTCGTCTACGACGATTCAAACGTTCGTCCGAGCGACTACTTCACGATGCAACTGCACTCACGGGTTTCGATTCGGTTCGGGGTCGGGTGTACAATACGCGTACAACAATAATATTAGTCATCGAGTGTCGCGTAGAATATTATATTCCACGCCGACGTAGAGCCGCGCGTCACGCGATGCACGCGAAAGACGGATGGAGACGCGCGTTCGTTTTAATATATATAAAAATCATTGTTGAACTAATAATAATAATAATAATAATACGCATATAATCGTTATTTTTCTGTCATTGAGCTGGGCGACTTAAATGTCATTGAACATCGTCATCGTGCGCGCGTGCTCGTGTGCAAACCGCACGCTGGAGGGGGGAGGGGACGCGGTGGCGGATTTATATAACATTTATACACGTACATAATTGTTTATCGTCACATGTACCGAACGAACTCGATGGGTAATTACTACCGTATTGTTATTGTATCGTAGGAAACGATGTTCACTTTTGTGTTCACGAGAAAACGATTGCGACGACGGCGTACCCGAGGTCGTGCGTGTTTTCCAGTGAAAATGTGTTCCGAAACGCTTGTTGTCCGCCCGAACGGCGGCGCACGGTTCCGGTGAACTGCCGATTGCGTAACGTCGCGTGTATTTTTATTACCTACCGTTTTCGTTTTTGAAACGAGTCCAACGACTCGGTCTTCCCGGCCGTTGTTTAATTTTAATTTTCTCCTGCGTGCCATTTCCGCGCGACATTTTCGCGCCCGTCCCAATACGAATATTTTGCGCGAGTTTAACATAAAGTAAACCTTAAGCCTAACCGGTTCGAGTTTCTTCAGGTTTTCTGCCCGATTCGGGTTGATCGGATTCCGGCCTCGGGCTGCTGCGTCGGGCCGGATCACGTTCGGGGTTGTACGTGCACATCGACGACGGTGCTTCATCGGCCACCGTTTCGCAACAGGGATCGAAGCGTACGCGATCGGTATCGCGCTCGTCCCCGCGCGGATGTCGACCCGACGATAAGCTATTCTCGCGTACGGCGAACGTCTCCCGATCCTGTTTGCAATCGGACGTGTTTTGGCACGGATCCACAAATGCTGCCCGAAGTTGACAGGTTCCTACTCGCTGTACAACAACACAGTGTCCACCTCCGTCGGTCCGCTCGTTTTTCCCACGTACTTAATGTCCTCTCACCCCCACGTTTCGGTGATGGAATCACTATAGCATTTACGTGTTGACCATCGCGTTTCAACGTTTTCGCCGTACTTTTCTCGATTTCACACTCACACGCGTATGTTGTTTGAATTTTATTTTTCTTGTTGAATTCCGTTGCATTGTGTTCATATCGTAACCGATCTGATCGTGACGACGGCGAAAGCAACAATTGTATGCTCGCCCTACTCGGGCTACTGAATCGATGTTGTGACACGAGACATGAGATACGCATCTAATCCGTCTTCAAGTGAAACCCCGTGGTAAAACTAGTAGCACTGACGGAAACGCGGAGGACTGTCTCGTGCGTAAACACCAACCTAGGTCCCTAGCTTGAATGGAATGCGTTCGACCCTTTATCGTTGCAGACGGTACGATGCGGCGATCGCGGTGACCATTGTCTTCGATTTTTCACCGTTAACGCGCACATGAAGTTGCGCGCGTGAAGTGGCGAGACATTATTAACGTGCACTTGTATGTTTCGGACGTGGTACACACACGTGTTTGTACAGGTACGCCATGTAATTCACTGTTAGTTACTCGAGTTTTTTGTGTACCGCAGTAATGTATGCCCATACGATTATCGTTGAAGTTACGTTTGTGCTAGTGTACCGTTGGCTTTCCTCCACCCCCCCCTTCCCATTACCGCGACAAGGACACAACAATAAGTCGATAATATTATATTTCCATACACAAAACACTGCTGTTCGTCTAATTACCGCTCGGTCTTGATTTTAAACCTGTACGAAATCGCGTTACACGGGCCGGGACTTAATAATGACCGCGGTTAAACGATAGCCTATATGCTGTGCACGAAACCAAAGAAGAAGAAGAAAAATGAAATGAATAGCTATTTTTCTGTCGCACTCCGTTTGGATTTCATTTCGCGCTCGCGGCTGTATTGTTTGATTGCACATTATGTACGTAATGAGATGCACACGAACGTGTATTACGCTGCAAGTGAACCGGTAATATATGTATCATATGAGTATCGATTAATTAATCAAGCACATCGTAAAAAATTAATAAATATCATTAAGTATTGGTAACAATCGATATGATAATTATATGGTTTTGACGCAATTTATGCAACACGAAATTGTAGGTCATCTACAAGCTTATCCTCTTGATGTTGGTACCTAAAAAGTCAAACTAAATGTTCATAATAACTACAGATAAGTACATATTTATACGTTTTATTGACGATAACGTCCAATCGTCGTCTGGTACCTGTTTACTGTTTATTATTATACATACTTTTAAGTAGATAAACGTTTTACGATCGCAGACAACTCGCACATGGCTATTATATTTATTATATTTTCGACTGATAAATTTCCATAAGAAAAATATTCGTTTTATATTTTATTGTATGGTTATAACTATAGTATACTCAACGTGGTAAACGTAGGATTTTCGTTGTTTTATCCAATAACATTTTTTTTTCCGTTTTTAACGCGTACCCACACTTGTTTAAATACATTTATTTATGGCTGTGATAAAAAAATTGTTATTCAATAGATTTATACTATAACTATAAATGGAAAAAAATGAAAACCTATCTGCTGACTAAAAACCTTTTTGATCGAATAAAATATTTGTCTACACAACGCAAATCACAAACCACAATAGGCTGATCATAATACGTACTTTGATGCTGTCCAAATCTCATTGTTTAGCTTGCTTTTCACAAATAATCATAATAGTAATTATTTCCTTTGGTGAAAATGCGCATTGTCCTTTGGAACACTAGCATGGACTTTATTCAGTATTATGTACCTATTTAATGTAGATAGATACTTCATAATTGACGCGTACCACTTTCCATCTGTATACATTCGTTTTCCCTAAGCGATCGATACCGATTGATTAAGTGTATTTTCGAATATTGTTACTTATAGCTAAGTAAATATAGAACATTGGCATACAACATGATCAATTTAATTGAACTGTGTCAAGTGCAATAATTCTATTCCACTTCACATATAAATGCACACAAAACTTGACGGCAACATCATTCAATTATTCGACTGTAAATGTCATATTACTTAACTATTAGTAGTTGATTATTGTTAAAAAATATTAAATTTAAATTTATTAGTATATATATTATGTGGTTTATATTAATATTCAAATACTGCGTATAATCTTATCCAGTTTTACCGTACTTATATATATATATATATATATATACGTATCATATTAAATATTTAAATACATAATAGTTTAATTATGTCAAATTACAATTTTTTAGTACTAGCGAAAGGTACAAGTCCTAATATTTATGGAAAGAAATACGTATTCACGTATTTTAGAGTAATTGTTGTTATTATTATAGTGTTAATGATTGCAATGACATGTCTACTATTTCCGTTGATGTTTATGTAAAACATGAATTGGATGTAGAAATATTGTTCAGTTATTTTAA